CTCAGGAGCCAGGCAGAAGGAGAAATCCCACACAAGACAGGCTCTAGAGCAATGTGGATATCCTAACTGGGCCTTCCTGAAAGAAGAAACCCAAACAGGACTCCAGTCAGCCAACAGGTGAAAAGGAGGAACCCAGACCCAGACCAGTGGTCATTCCATATGTTGAGGGAGTATCAGAGAAACTGAGACGTTTATTTTCTAAACACAACGTCCCAGTGGCTTTTAAACCCCAAAATACATTAAAGACTGGTTCATCCCAAAGATCCAGTCCCCCGGCACAAACAGAGCAATGTTGTGTATGTTGTTCAGTGTCAGGAGGGTGATCAGTCTTACATCGGGGAAACTAAACAGCCACTGGCCAAAAGGATGGCCCAGCACAGAAGATCAACATCATCAGGCCAGGACTCTGAGGTCTACACTCATCTCCAGGCCAGCGGTCACTCTTTCAGGGATGAAGATGTGCACATCCTGGACAGAGAGGAACGATGGTTTGAGAGAGGAGTAAAGGAGGCCATCTTTGTGAAAAGAAACCGTCCATCATTAAACAGGGGCGGAGCCTCCGGGTTCAACTGTCCCCCTCTTACAATGCTGTGATTGCTAGTATCACTCAGCCCTCTGTGAACAGTAAACAGCCATCAGGTGCTAATGATCCATTGTTAGGCTGATGGTCCTTCTTGAGCATGTGATCAGCTGGTTCTGGTTGTCAGCAGCAAACTGGTTGATCCACTCTGAGAAGGTGCTATTTAAGAGACTGAGCTGAATACAGCTCCTCAGACTGAAGAAGTCCTCAGGATGAGAGACGAAACGTTTCTACATTTTTTTGCTTTGTTTTGTTTTTTGTTTATTTTGAATGTCCAGAGGACCAGATTTAACTTGTTTGGATAATATTATAACATTATAATAATTGTAATAACTGTAATATTATAATAACTATAATATTGTAATAACCATAATATTATAATAACTATAAATTATAATAACTGTAATAACTATAATTTTATAATAACTATAATATTATAACTGTAATAACTATAATATTGTAATAACTGTAATAACTAATATTATAATAACTAATAACTAATATTATAATATTATAGTTATTATAAAATTATAGTTATTACAGTTATTATAATTTATATTTATTATAATATTATAATAACTAATAACTAATATTATAATATTATAGTTATTATAAAATTATAGTTATTACAGTTATTATAATTTATATTTATTATAATATTATAATAACGGGAACAACTATAATATTATAATAACTGTAATTACAATATTATAGTTATTACAGTTATTATAATATTATAGTTATAATATTATAATATCTATAAATTATAATAACTGTAATAACTATAATATTGTAATAACTGTAATAACTATAATTTTATAATAACTATAATAACTGTAATAACTATAATATTGTAATAACTAATATTATAATAACTGTAATAACTAATATTATAATAACGGTAATAACTATAATATTATAATAACTGTAATATTATAATAATTATAACTATAATATTATAATAACTGTAATATTATAGTAACTAATATTATAATAACTAATATTATAATAATTGTAATAGCCATAATATTATAACTGTAATATTATAACAGTAAATTATAATAATGGTAATAACTATAATATTATAATAACTGTAAATTATAATAATTGTAATAACTATAATATTATAATAAATATAATATTGTAATAACCATAATATTATAATAACTGTAAATTATAATATTGTAATAACCATAATATTATAATAACTGTAAATTATAATATTGTAATAACCATAATATTGTAATAACTGTAAATTATAATATTGTAATAACCATAATATTGTAATAACTATAATATTATAATAACTAATATTATAATAACTGTAATATTATAATAATTATAACTATAATATTATAACTGTAATATTATAGTAACTGTAATATTATAATAACTAATATTATAATAATTGTAATAGCCATAATATTATAACTGTAATATTATAACAGTAAATTATATTAATGGTAATAACTATAATATTATAATAACTGTAAATTATAATAATT